GTTTATACAATGACAGGTAACAGGACACTAATAAATACATTACTGATTACTTCTTTCCTTCCTTTCGGAATTAGCTCATTTAGAAACTGTATATATAGTTATATAATAACTAGTATAGTATATATAATCCCATTCACTCTGCTCTCACAACTTTCTCTCTCTTTTTCACTTGTTTTTGTTTTATAGTCCTGCTTTTCTTTTGAGGCGATAGCATCACATAAAATTTCAAATGGCCAATTTCATACGGGCACCGAAGAGCTAACGGACAGGGGACGGAGTAACTAAAGGGAGTTATGGCTGCTACTGGTTTATTTGTTCTTTCTGGTGTATCTATCATATCACAAATAAGAAGCAAACCCTACTAACTCTGCTGCTCATATGCACACAATTCTTGATGTAATCTCTGCAGAAGTCCCCCCATTATGGTATTCTTACCACATGAAGAATAGCACTGCCACAGTGTTTTTAATGGTATCGTGCACATTTTCTCCAACCCTCATGTTGTTTAGCTCTTGCTTTGGTCAATAAGGAAAAGAAGACAATACTACAAAAGCAGCAGGTTGCTCAAGAGAAAACACGTAAAAGGAAAGGGTAAAGACTCTAGGTCAGATGAAGTTCTATTAACACCTAACATTTTTAAGACATAAATGAATAATTATAGAAGTTTTCAGCCTATAGAAATTAGCATCACTAGTTATCAACTCCTTAAAAATTAAACTAGTTTTACTTCATTAGGAACTTTACAATTTAGCAAAAGATCTTACACAATTAATTTAAAATCAGGTAAGGGCTAATAATTCGAGGACTAGAAAAATTACAGTATTACTTATATATATATATACACATTTAATTTTATGTCCTGTTTTTAAACTTGCTCTCAGCACACAAACTTCTAGGTATACTACATCAAGAAAAAATGGTTCAGGGTTACTGTAAATATATTTGGTATCTATCAGGCTTCCATTACATAACAGAAAGATGTATGCAAGATTTATCGTTACTTCTGAATTTTTCTTTCTTCATATGCAAGAGACACGTTATTATTCTAAGCATAATGTGAAGACATGACTGCTGAAACGGAGAATCCCAAAGGATAAATCTTTCAGAATACAGGTATTACAGCCTGCAGAGCAATAAAGAAGCACCACCTGTAGGTCACCAGGAATATACTACGCAGAACGCACTGACAACAAGCACCCATTTAGGACAGAATGTATCTTAAGCTACTATATAGATCATAATCATCTCTCCACTCTTCACTTCTGTTTTTTTTCTCTTACCCCATTCTTCTCCCCTCACACATTCCAGACTGCTAATGTTCAACTTCACAAAAAAACATTATTCAGCAAAATTAATTACTTTAAGCATGTGTTACAATAAATAATAAAGGTATGCTCTGAAGCAAAACTTTTCTGTTTCTACAATCTAAATTTTCCTCTTGTACTTTGCATTCAAGAGCAAAATACTTATTAGAGAAAAAGAGTTGGAATCTCCTTACTATTTATATCACATACAGAAATATCATTTCAATAACATCCCTAGCATGAATTAAAGTTTTTAATTGCAATTAAGCAGTAACTTGGTACCAGTAGTTTAAAGAGTGCATTTTCTTTAAAAGGACTAAGCATTTGTCCTTTGAAATGGTAATTGTTTCAAGTCATTATATCATTTAGACCTCAAGCTACTTGAATACTTATGCCATAATGGCTAAAAGTGCAGTTATATTGTTTATTTAAAACAAAAACCAAAATACAACACCACTTGTGTGCAGTACAAAACTTGCAGCTCCTGAATTATCTTAAGTTAGTAATCACTCACTAGAAAGAAATAGGAGAATTATATGAAAATTTACCAAACCTTACCATGAGTTTAAGTAGAGCTCTACTTTCAGGCCATATTTGAAACAAGCACCATTCGCAACCACCAAATTGCACGGAAAACCAAAAGTTTGCTCACCTTTGGAGGCTTCAGACTTTTCCTCCTCTGTTTTTTAGATCGTAATAACCGTTCCCTTTCCTAGAAGAAAAGAGAACATTTTGGTATGGGTTTCTTTTAAAATATGTATTTAGATATGTCTAGCACAAATATCATTCAATTTTTCTTAAAGCCTACGGTAAAGCTAACTCAAAGACAATGTCTTTGTCCTTTTGAATAACGCCGTTTTGGCATAACATCACGCTGTACTGCGGCTTTATCCCTTTAGCAAACAAACCTTCAGCCATGTACTCTACACATTTGATAGGAAGTTGGCCAGAAAAGGCTTTGTTAAGTACTGGGCACAGATTTCTGACAGTTCTTTTGACACTTTTCCCAAGAAGCTCACTACGGAAACAGACTTTGCGTTCTCACTCCAACATTCAACCATCCTGAAGAAGCAGGTTGGTAGTCAAAAGTGAGTCCAGTCTTAGTAATGACAAATCGTTATATCAGGCATACTCTGATATACAACCATGCATATGCAGATACAGCGTTACACATGACTTATCCTTGTAGAGTGAAAGTCTCAAATCCAAAGGCACTCTCACTCAGTCTGTGTCAACTTAGTGTCTTTTTATCTACCGTGACCTTGGAACGAGATCATAATTGACTGTATTATAATAGGAGGAGGTTGTAACTGGAAAAATGCAGGGTTTATGAACATTCAAGCCCAAGAATACTGCCTTGAATTCCAAAGGAGAAGAGGAGAAAGAAAAGGTAAAAAATGCAAAAGAGAGGACAGGCAAAAAAACAAACACAGGAAGCACGTGATCTGTCTCCTTGCCTTTTTTCCTGATTCTTTCCTAAGCTCTGCATCTTTCTTTGCAACATCTCTTTTTTTTTTTTTTCGTAAAAGAATGATAGCAGTTCCAAGTTCCAAGGGCTTCTCTAGCAGTTATTGCTTGCTGCATGGTATTATTCTAGTCAGAGTTACTTGCTTTATATTCAGTTCAGAAACTGGACAAATAGGAAGCTCCCAGTGGAAATCACAATAAAAATATTCATCTTTATCAGCACATTGTTCCAAGAACAAAGTTTTGGAAAATACGAAATAATTCAGAAAAGTACAATAAATTACATAGCACCTTTAATACATGTGATTTTCAGAATAAGGAAAAGTAATGATTGTCAAGGTAGAATGCAGCAGGTATTTCAAGCTGCAGAATAAATAATAAATTAAGCTCTAGCTGAAAACACAAAGTTGAATTTTAGACAGTGTTGAAGAATAATGCTTCCTCCTCAGGTACCTGGTTAAGGCACAGTCCCTGCTTTAACCTGGGTCTCCTGCATCCCAAGTAGGCACCCAAACAGTTGGAGAAACTGGCTGGTCTTCTCACTCTGTCTTCCCTTTCCTCTCACTTCAGTGCAGAATGAACAAACACTCTGAAAATCCCCAACTCCTTCCTGTTTCTAATCTTATGTGTAAGAAGACTGCTTAATTTACTGTCTTTATAATACATCAAGCTACCAGAACAATAGTAAAGCCAATCAAAAAACACCATCTGCTGAATCACTAGCATCTTTTGCAATCATCTGAGTTTATCTTGACAGCTTTCCTTTTAAGAACTGACCATTGTGGGAGAACTCCAGTTTATATGGCTTCAACAGCATCAAAGATACCCTACAAATGACAATACTAATCAATTCAGACAGCCCTATTGCCTAAGACTATCATTCTTATTTCTGTGTATCATATTGGTCTCAGCTGGAGGTAAACTGATGACTTTTGTATTAATCAGGTATGTGACATGTGGGTCATTCTTGATAGTTATGATACATTTGTATTCTGTAGAGGTGTGGTTTGACCCAGAAAAAACAGCCAAAAAGCACAACGGAAGTGCAGAGTTCCACTGCACTCATATCAAAGGCGAAGCATCAATTAGTTCGTACTGCCAACCAAAGCAGTATCCTAGTTATCAATTTAACTTATTTCTGACAGTGAAAAAGTATCTGTAAACAGGAAACAAAGCAAAAATGAAACCATATTTTAAAATATTTATTTATTTTACTTTCACACTAAACACAAGTAAATACTAGTTGACCAAAGTAAGGATACAATATATTTCTTCAGATTACTGGCTGAGACAGTAAAAAGACAGTCCTTTCATACCCACTTTACACTGAAATATAAGTGAGGTTATATCTGCCATATTCTGAGAATTTAATATCACGTCATAGTCCCTGCCTGTACAGTTGTATTTGGAAGGTAAAGCAGCATTGCTCTGTCAATCAGACCCTGCATCACAGGGTCTGAGCAACATCTACTGCTTGTAACGCTGTGACACTGGAGAACGCATGCAGACATCAATCTTTGGCACTGGTTACAGAGACACATCCTGGGTCAGAATCTCAGAGAACTGCCAAGAATAGAGACAATGTTCCAGACAGAGCAACACCACAACTTTTTGTTTTATCTTTTTGGATCTTCTATTTTTATTGCTAATGTTGCATCTAATAGTTTCCTTTCTTATTTAGACAAAATTATCTTAAATTAATTTTATCAGTTTGTAGCAGTCATTAGTGCCATTTGAGATGCTCTAGAATAGTCTGCATGAGTTCCAGATGCTGCTCCAGAAAGGCAGGGGTGTCTCAGAGACGATACGTCATTTCTGCCAGCACCAGAAGAGTGAACCATACGTTGCGCTAAATAGCACTAGACAACTCTAACACAACTCAGAAGAGTCCTGGCCAAACAGTGCAAACATCTATGAGCATCATCTTAAGTGGTCTTCACGGTCAGAGGGTAGCAGCTGTGCAATTCTGATCTTAAACTATGCTGCTCCCTTTGTTTGGATGAATCGTGTATTTCTCTCCATTTGTTATAAAGGCAGCTAATGTGGCCAGCTCAGAGACACTTAGGTGAAATGAATGCCATCCTGCATGCTCCTTTCTTTTAGGGGAGTGGTTGGGTTTGCACCAGGGTCTACATCCAACACGTTTCAGTCATTAAGTTTTGAAACGTGTCCTTTCCTCCCAGTTCCTCGGTTGTTGACAGCCAATTTTGTAAGGTGGATGGACTGATGCACTTCTTTTCGCAGGCAGCTCGGAATAGGCAAATATTTTATAATACAGAGATTCATACACATTCCAAAGAAATTTGTTCACTACCTGAGAAATAACAAGAGCCTTTCAACGCCAAAGAACTAGTTCTGTATCACTACAACAACTGGAGTTAAAATATTGCTCTCAAATCTTTAGCTTGCCTATAGATGTGTGTGCATGCACGTGTGTATACCAGTCATAAGCATTACCACTGTGAGATCATCAATAACATGCTGCTGTTCTTTGACTTGCAGTCTAAGGAATTCAATTTCTTGTTCCTCCCGTGTGCTGCTGAGATCATTCAAAGATGTGTGCCTCTTCAGTGCTGGTTGTGCAGATAACTTCTCTTTCTGCGAAAATTAAAATGAAATTAAAAAAAAAAAACCATAAAGAACGTTTTAACATTTCTTGCTGGAACAGGAGGAAAATTCTCATGCGTGATGTAGTAATTAAGAATTCTTTGGACTCATCACTGCATACTCCACTACAACATAAGGACTCTTAAAAAAAACCAAACCAAACCAAAACAAAAAAACCCCAACAAAAAACAAAACCAGCACCACAAAATCAAAACCAAACAAACCCCCACGCAAAACACATTCTGTACACTTCAGTGTTAATATCTCACATAAGATACTTTAAAACAGAATCAAAGAACATAGTCTGGGACAAAATTAGCAGACAAGTGAACTCAATGATTTAACATAGTAGAGCCTTTGGCACATGCACTCAAATTCAGTTCTGACTTCTAATCATACAAGCAGCATTTATTAAAGCTGATTTTTAGTCATACAGTTTTATAGCCTCCAAACGCATTTTATCTATCTGTGATCCCTTCCCTTAATCAGCATGAATCGATACACCACAAAGCACATGCCACTCTGAATTCAGAGTATGAATATTCAGTTGCACTGTCTGAATTTAAGCCTCTGAAAAGTCTGTATTAGAGTAAAAGCCTCACAAGCATTTCCACCTCAAAAGTAACTGTGGGCAATGTGTTCTTACATCATGATGTCAGAGTTGATTACTTACCAATTCTACATTTTCCCTTGATAGATTTTTTATTTTCTCTTCCATTCTCTGGATACATTGCAACATATCATCATTTTTTTTGCTCATCCTCTTATTTTTTTCTACCAAAGGCTTCAGCTGACTTTCTGTCTCCCGAGAACGTTTCAGCTGCAAATGACAAAGGAACAAAGCTAGCTGTGCTTTAGTTTATACTTGTAGGAAAGAAGAAATACGTGTGTTTTCACTTGCCTTCTTCCTTCATTCAGCAGGTTTAGTTCTTTTGTTAAGTGGCATCTGATAATGACTACTGCTGAACTAAGAACTACAGGAGTCCAGAGAAATAAGAAATAGCATTTCTGTACAGTCTACAAAAACACTAGATCTACTCACTGGATTTTGCTGTTGGAAAACACTTATGATGATCCACAAAAGTGATTTCTTGATAAACTAATCTCATGGTATATAAGCTTCTTGTAAGCAAATAGGTCTCTAGGGTAGTTGTTTTCACCATCCCTTAGTAGCAGTAAACTCTTCCTACTCTACTTTAAAAACCCTATACCTAATCTGTAATTAGAGCAATGAGAAAGTCAGCCAGAGGGCACAGATTCAATCTCAGCATTCTGCTGACATTTTCAAGCTGCTCAATTTTGTTCCTGTGGTTTTATGATGTTAGACAATTATGTGAGGCAAATTACTGCCCTTTCTTGCATTTATGTGTATTCAATATTTCAGTCTTTTTATTTCATTAATCCTTGAGCTGTTTTGTTTGTTAAAAAAAAAAATAAATCTATTTTCCAATCTAAAGTTTTCCAATTTACTGAGTTTTAACTGGAAATGAGAAAAAGATAATCTTTCTCCTGAGATAATTTCACTGAGTATTTGGTTTTCTGTTTCAATCTCAGGAGAAAATTATTTTTTTCACAGTGCTTAATCATACAAGCTTACTGAGATTACTGTTTTTCTGTAATATTGACTCACAATGTGACAAAACCTTCTCCGTATCTTTTCCAAAATATATTTCTTATGCCTCTAGGTCAAGCATCAGAAGAGCACCTGACTGAGTCATACGTGCCCTCCATCTAGAGGGACACTGCAGGATACATGTTGCAGTACTTCAGTATCCTTCAAGGATGTTTTGAATTACTTATGTCCACCAAAAGGATTAGGAGGCTGAATTATCTCATCTTTATATAATGCAATCTTGAAAAAAGGCAACATGTTCTTGAGAGCATAGAGTACAGAAAAGCAACTGTAGCAGTA